TTCCATATCATCACCCCAATCTGTATTATAACTTAAATGCTTCAGTATTTTTGGAGCTCGGGGCATTTCTTTTAACTTTCTTACAAAACTTCGAACCACGTTCCTCAGCTTCCCGCTTTCTAAAGTCTTCATAGGATAATTTTCGAGATTTTGGCTCATCCGCTTTTTCATTAAGCTCTTTACCACATGAATAACTCGGCAGTGCAATGGGTACAAAACATCTCCACTTGGGTTGGTCATCAAAGCATCGCTATTCCCGCCATTTTGAGCCATTCTGAGCCATTCTGGACATTGAACTGCTAGTGCCAGTCTCTCCCGACTCTTGCGCGCGCAGGGATTCTTAGTTTTTGTTTGCAGCAACTTTAACTTATTTGCAGCAACTTCAACTTATTTGCAGCAACTTTTATTTGTTTGAAGCAATAACATTTATTTGTTTGCGGCAGCATTTATTAATTTGCCGTTATGTTTGCTTTTATTTGTCGGAGCTTTTACTAATTTGCAGCAACATTTTGTTAATTTTACGTAATGTTTTATTATTTTTGCATCAATATATATTTGTTTACATCCACATATATTTGTTGGCACCAATATACATTTGTTTGCAGCTGTTTCCTGTGGGCCTCCGTATAGACTGAAAAGAGGTCATCAACAAAGAGAAGCGAATTACAAAGGATCCACGAAAGAAGAGAAGGTATGTCGTGTCTTATGTGAGTTTCCTCTTACACTAAGACCCAAAAGAAATTCAAACTTTTTTTTTAAACGATCGTCGTTTGATACTAGCTTCAGTTTCTAATTCAACTGATCACGTTTCGGTTAAACATTGGCTCTGGCATTCATCGCCTAAAAACCCTCACGCCAGTTTATTGCTCGAATAATATTTCATAGTGTTCGTATTCTTCGCGTTATTTCATGTCTTTTCGTTTAAAAGTTTAATACATTTGTGGTGTTATGGGAAAAGAAGTTATCTTGTGTATTTTGTTTTGCCTAGAAAGTTTTTAAATGATGGCGAACGGTGAGCGCAAGTTTCTAGTTATTTTTCTTTTCAGTTAATTATCGTAGGATTTACTCTATGCATTTAAAAAATTCGCGCTTTGCCGAAGATGTGTTGTTTTACCCTAAGAACGAAGTAATGGCCTTTCC